TTATAGTTTTCGTAATTGACTATTAATAAACATATCTATCAAAAATATGTGTCGCGTTAATTTTGTCCTTGGTAGTTACTCTAAAAAGTCAGATGAATTTATCATATATGCGTGGTAGAGTTGGTTTAGGAAGTAGCATTGATTCAGATGAAACACTTGAAAAACGTGAACGATGTGAGAAAGATCATCAAGCAACAAATAACGCATGAGAAAGGTGAAGAAGATGAAAATTTTTTTTTAAAATTCTTTCATTTCTTGTTTTTTATTAGATTATGTGTAAGAAATATAAACGATGTATTTTACAGAATTTGGTTGTGCGTGCTCAATTCATATACATAATGATAAGCCAGTTACAAAATTAAGTATATTACAACAAGCAGTTTATCTTAAAACAACACTTGAACGACAGGTTCGAGGTTAAAAAAAAAGATAAATGAATATTTTTTTATTAAGAACGTAATTAAAATTCAAAGAGTGGAGAATGTTTAAGATGATGTGAAGAAGAATCTGAAAATCTTAATGAAAATATGAAGATAAATGTACAAATATCAGTATGAGATACAAGTGTTATATCAACCAAATCATTATCATTTAAAGGGTCACATTTTATGGAACAGATGCATTGGTCTATTCCACCATCTTATTGATAACAATGAGAAAAAAGAAATTTTATGCTTTTTGTTGTTTTTGTAGAACTTCTATGCGCGTGCCCTATTACTTGCTTATCGATGACTTTGTGTTTTCTTCTTTGTTGTTACCTATTTTTCTCTCATTTAAATATTATATATATATAAGAAAAGAAAACACTTTTTGTCTTTTTTTAGTATCTGTCTATATTATTTTTAGTCTTCTTATATGTGAACGAATATATGAAAATTAAGAATAGGATAAGAGAATATTTTCTTTCTCTTCTAATTCTTCAAATAATAGATCTTATTTTGTGCAATCTTTTTCTCTTTAATCAGTCAGTAATATGTTTGTTTATTCGTCAAAATTCTTGTTAATTCATTATTTTTACCAAATCAAACTGACAAGATATAGAATATTTTAGACTAAAATTCGTTTCTTTTGTTTAACATTGTTCATATCTAATAAAAAAGTCGGTTTTTTTTCGTCTGCTTTCTTTTTTTTCATCCTTTGGTCTGTTAACCGATTTTTTTTCTTTTACTGCCTGACATTTCTCATCTTTAAATTTCTTTGTTTATTCACAATTGTCGTTCTTGCTATAGAGTATTACATCTCTTATCCTTGTTTGTCATACACAGATACACATGCAAAAAAAGTGCACATTTTTAATAATAAAAGAAAAAACAAAGAATTTAAGTTTTTTTCTAATGAGTATCAAAGAGAGAAATTGTTGACATAATCAGTTAAAAAATCATCTTTGATATGTTGTAGTTACTTTATTCTTGTAATGTTGCGGAGCTGATGAGTGTAGGACCTAGAAATTCCTGAATAGCTTTGATTTCTATTATCTGGAATTGTTTTTAGATCTTACTGTTCAATGTGAACAGAAATCCATAAGTGAAAACAGTTCTTACTATTTGCTTTAAACATGTTTAATATATTTATTATTTCATTTGAATCAAATGTCGATCTTGATAGAAAGTATAGAAGATCGATTTACAGCTAGGGATGGCACTTTACCTTTACTTTACTAGTAAATAGTAAATAAACTATTTACTATTTACTAACGTAAAGTAACTAAAATGTTTATGACATGATTGCAATAATTAAATATAATATTTATCTAATCCTTAGATAGAATAGAAGAATATGGTTTTATCTCCCTCGAAAATGATGTCTATTACTTGCTAAACGGGTTCCTTTATCTAGCATCACTTTTTAAATATCATAGGAACGATCGTGTTTTGAGGGAACCATTCCATTTAACGCTACTTAGTGGTATACACTTTCTGAATGGCTTTGCTTAACCATTAATAGTCAGATTAAGCTCTGTTGTTTGACACGAAATTCATCGATATTAAGTGATCAAGTGTGTGACATAAACTGAATAGTCTTTGAATTCACCTTCTGGAGAGAAAAGCTATTTAACGAAGTGCTATAGGTGATCCTACAAGTGCCATGTTAAAATTAAAACTATAAGTAATACTAATGCTTAGGAATGTGAACACACCAATAAGGTTAATCTCTTAGCGTCATTGTCAAACTTTGAGAGATGAATATGCAGACCAGAAATTACCAGACTATAGTCGAGTCTCCCCAACGAAATCCTCAGGAAGTTCCCTGAAAAATGCGAAGTCCCCGGGGAATCCCTGTCGTGAGTCCCAGAGGAAGTGGCACATCTCAGAAACTCCCCAAAACTCCTCGGGGAGTCCCTCTAAAGTTTTCATAAATTTAAATTTTTCAAAGAATTCTGATGGTGGCATCCTGGAAAGACCCTGATAATAGTCATCAACTCCCTGGAGAGTCCCTAGGAAGTCTCCATGAAATCCCTGAAGAATTCCTGAATCTCCTCTTAACTCCCCCAGAGACTCACAGCGGGAATTCTTCTAGAGAGTCTAGACTAGAGGACCCTCTCTCAGCGCTCTGATTGACCTAAAATCTAAACCACGTTTTTGAGTCATAGAAGAGATATTTCGAGTTACTATCACTCTCGTCCATACCTTTTCCCACAGCGATGAATTTGAATCTAAAGTTCATTTTCGTTGAAATCGTAAATGTGAGCCACAAATCTTCAGTAACTAAAGGAAAATGGTAAAAGTCGCACCCAGGGAACAAAATATAAAGGATCGTAATAGTAGCATGAAGAAAGAAAATGAAAGGATGAGCATGAAAAAACTATTGTTATTGATAGTAAATAAATTTTTCTACTGTTAATCCAGTTGGATTGAAATCGACGACTTCAAATAGAGGATAAATGTGTTTTTTGTTTAAGTCATACCTATACCAATACTGACGAGAGGAAAATTAGACCCAAAAAGAAACATTCAAACAAGTTTGAAACGTAAAAAAGTCGCTACAACTCTTTGTGCTAATTTAAAATATAACATTTGTCTATAGTCAAACGGAGTTTGTTTTCTCGAAAGGTATTATCAGAAAAAAAGTATAATAAATTATATATTCGCTAAAAAAATTTCTCTTATATACAAGTGAAAGCTATAAATTGATAAAACTGAAACAGATCGAAGATGTTTTCGCTTCGAAGTGAATTGAGATGTTGGTTAGAATTTTAAAAAATACAAATACTTTATTCTGTATAAAAGTTCTATAATTAGGTTGATCATCTTGTCCAACATACTCTAAGATGCGTTTTTCGTCTAAGATTATTATTAACGTGTTACTACTATCCATAGCGTATTTATTGCCTTTTACCGCTTCCATCCTTCAAAAGCCCTAGATTTGATCACTATTTAAATGTAACTTTCTATTGATGAGGATGAAATTAATCGCATCCAAAACTCAATGACTCTTCATTCATGATTTTGACGATTGTACTGGAGATAGTGAATATCTACCAGCACTATAAGCAAAAGTGCGGTGAATAGTTTAATCTTAGAAAATGTATGTATGATGATAATTCCAGTGAATCAGTTTGTACAACTTCCATTATCTTAGCAGTTGAAATTGTTTCAACAACTTCATGATCTATTTCAAATTGTTAAAAAAATATGATAAACTTTTTAAGTATATTCTATGCAAAATGTAATTGTGAATAAAACTTTTATCTAAAGATAAAATCTTTATTATTATGAATGTCTTTGAATATAAACAGATTTTTAAGAGAAACTAGTTTTAAAATGTATATCTCCCATGCAGAAATGAGACATACAATCATTTTGACATCCATTAACCAGTTACTACATCTACTAACCATTATCGTTCTAAAACAGAGGTTGTAATAAGACGCCCTATTGCATCGGTTTATTCACCAATGAAACGACCGGATCGTTTGCTTGAATATTATATAAAAATGTGTATTATCAGTGTGTGTGTCATACTAAAATAGTATGTGATATGAAAAGTGTGATGGTGACAGCTTCTAATAATATACTTGTTTATCGAGTGACATATTTTTCTATATTTCTATTGTCTTTTATTGTTTTTGTCCAAGCCGAAAAGCATTTAAATGCCAATGGACCATTTGGAAAACGTCATGAATTTCACAATGAACCAAGTCCATATGCCTGTAATAGAGGAGCAGGCATTTATTCTTCAATTTTTCGTCGACGAAATAAAGTTGTACAAGATTTACAAGTATCTAAAACAGTTTATATGAGCAGTGAACAAATTCAAGTAACATGGACACCAATATCAGCATCATGTAAAGATGATTTTATTGGTATTTATTATATTGAAATTCCTCTTATTGCAGGTATGTTTTTATTACTTCTTTAGAATTTAGTTATATATAAGAATGAATAAATTATATTTGACTTTAGCTTGTGATTATTTCGATTATGAATTTGTTCAATATAAGCAAAGTAATATGTCATGGCAAATGACAAATCTTCGTCGTCCATTAGAATTTCGTTATTATTCACGTGATCATAGTTGTTCAGGCAATTATTCTCTTATTGCTAAATCTCCTATTATTCAACCAGTTAATTATAATGAACCAACACAAATTCATTTAGCTTATGGTGATAGAATTGATCAAATGTATGTTTCATATTTAACTAATTCATCAGAATATATTCCTCAATGTCAATATGGTTTAACTTCATCATCTTTAAATTGTCATAAAAATGGAACAACAATAACATATACAGCATCCGATATGTGTGAAGGAAAAGCTAATCAATGGGGTCCACAAGCTTTTATTGATCCAGGATATATGCATACAGTTTTATTAGAAGATCTAAATCCATCAACAATGTATTTTTATCGTGTTGGAACAGATGAACATGGATGGTCATCTATTTATTCATTTATAAATCGTCCAGCAGATAAAAATGAAGCAGTAAATATAATTACATATGGTGATTTAGGTTTATCACCAGTTGAACCAGGTGCAAAATCAACTATTGATCGAGTAATAGCACGAGTAACATCAAAAAATTTGACATGTTTATTACATATAGGTGATATTAGTTATGCTCGAGGTGTTGGTGCTTTATGGGATGCATTTATGACTCAAATTCAACCAATAGCAGCTCGTAT